TAACTATACATAATCCGTAAAATAGACATTTCTCTCATGGTGAGGCTCACCTGGATGACAACACGTGGGGACTGGGAGAAGTACCAGAGAGGCAGGCCGAACAGACTCATGAGGGCCGTCTTGGTCTCATATGTCTCCGAGCAGCGAGTACTGAGGATGCTGCCACCTGAAGACACACAGAGGTTGAGAGGAAACAACAATTATACTGAAAATTAAACCGGTAAATATTTTTCTGCACTTTAGCCTTTATTGATAGCATTAGAACGTCAGTGCCCACGTCCTCTGTGAAGTGATGATGTAGGTCAACAGACTGCTCAGTAACACAATGGAGCCTGGGCTTTTGCTGTTAATACCCTGACGTCCTCGAGCCTGGATAATGCCTGCACCCTCATTACATAACAGACGTACATTAAAGCACAGTACTGAATTATGATGCAGCTAGCCTGCTAATCCCTTCCCAACAACTGACTCTGATATTGATGCCGATGTGAGGCTCCCATCTTACCTCCAGACTCCAGGGCGTAGTCCACCTGGCCTGTTCGATCCTGGGAGTAGAGCCTCAAAGCATTTTGGACAATCAGCTTCACTTGCTGGGGAAGAAGCCACAACACAAGAGTTAAGATTCAATAAACATGGCAAACCAACACTTTTAAGAGCTCAGCTTAGATTATGTGATTAAGATGGAAATCCACAGTGACGATGATGTTGACTGCAGCAGTGTACGTTCATTACCTCTTCTGTCAGGCCCTCAACAGCAGCAGCGTGCTGGACTGTCCCGGTTACTGTCTGAACGATGGTCTTGGCTTGGGACTCTGCCTCACCCAGGGTTTGGGCCCGGTTAAGCTCCAGTTGCAGGGACACGTTTCTCAGGATGTTCATCTCCATTGAGGCTAGTGAGGCCTGCAGGTCAGGTGTGCTAACGTAGCGCTGGGACAGCCAGTAGATCAGGGACTCAGGCACCTCTCCCTGCGCCTCTCCTGAGCCACCACTGCCAAAGAACAGAGCCTGCAACTCCTTACGCACCTGGGAGGACACCTGGGCTGATATCTGGGAAAATAAAACACAATGAATCAGAAAAAGTCATGGAAACTAGATGTGAGTCAAATCTTAATGATTTATGACAGCGCTCCATGGTAAAGGCACATTGAGTCGATCTTACTGTAAAGCCCAAACATGAGTCACTATTTGTGTTACTTACTGTCTCCTGTAGCGTGTCTAGCTGCTCACACTTGCCCTTGCATCCCGCAACACCAAGCAGGTCCTGCCTGACTTTGCCAAGCTCCGCCTCAAGTCTCTGCACTTCCACTAGCAAAGCATCATGGTCCTCCTGGTTCACACCCACACTGAGGGAGAGACAGACATGTGAGCTGCCATAATCTTGAAGAACTCGCCAAGAGAAAAATAAGAAAGTCAGTGCACATGCGGATTTGAAGCAAACTAATTTGTGTTTTGTACCTGATAGGAACAGTTTCTGGTGCTGAAGTGACAACGTCTTTCTCCCTTTCCTGCTTCTCGTGCTCATACTGCTGCTGCTTCTGTTGCACCTTCTATAAAACACATCAAATACGTACAGGATTACTGATGATAACAAAAAAAACGTTTATGACAGATAAACCAAATCAGTGATAATAACAATGACATTTTCCCAGGAACATACTTCCATTATGTACTTTATACAGCACCACTGTTCATTTGTTTACAGAGGTTTTTTGTCAGTTAATAATTAGACTCTAAGCTTTGCATGAAAACACTGCCTGTGTTATGTGTTGCTGGTTAAGGTTTACCATTTGACCTCTACTCTTACATTCTGTTCTTTATAATGGATAACATTATTGTGCTTTGATAGTTTTGCTTTGAATCTACATTTTGGCCGATTTATTGATTTTTTATTGGAAAGTTAGAGTAAATTAGACAGGTAAACACTGCCGCATATAAAAAGTAATCTTGTCATTTCCACATGCATTCTGCCCGCATGATTTAAGGCGTTTTCTCTGTGGAAGAGCAGTGAATCTGCTGTACATACCTCAGTTTTGGCAACCAGATCGTTGAGGAGCAATTCTAAACCAGCCAGCCGTGCTGCTTGACTCTCTTGCTGCTGTTTCTGCTGCTCTGTACTCTGCATTGAACAGGAGAAAAGAGGAAAAAGTCAGATAAAAGTAAACCTTTTAAGCACAATAATACTCTTGTAACTCAACACTTATCATCTTTTTACCTGTGCTCTGTGTGTGTTCTCCTGTTCCAGCTCTCCCCGTAGCACGCCGAGTCTCTGCTCCAGCAGGGAGGACACCCACAGTCCCAGGCTCTCCCTGTCTGTCTGAGTGTGAAGCTGCTCCCTTAGGGTGCTGTACAGACCCAAGATGTCCCCGTGGCGCTGCTCCTGCTTCTGGTCACCCTGCTGGACTTGCTCCCACAGCAGGGCTAGTTGGCGCTCTACATGTTCCAGTCGCTCCAAGTCCACACCGGAGACCACCACAGGGGGAAGCATCGGCTGAGGAGGAGAATGAAGGAGCAAACAGATAACAGACAGGTTACAATTTTGTGGCGATTCCCAAAACAGCCATGCATTGCACCAGACACACAATGGCATTATTTATCTCTAAAGTACACAGTGTCTTTGTGCAGTTGAGTACAGGGCAAAAGCAACAAGATACATTATGTAATAAGGTCATTTATACACACACACACACACACACTCATAATCATGCAGTGCTTTCTAATAATGCTTTCATTGTTTTATCTGTGCATCTTACTGGTGCCTGTGAGACCGGGGTGGCGGGGGTTTGCTCCACTGAAGTCTCTGGTGCAGGGACAATGACAGACGCAGGAACCGGAGCAGAAGCTGGCACCAAGTTAGACAAGAAGGTGAAAGGAGACGCAGGACGCCACTCGGTAATGTTTATGGCAGGGAGATAGGCGAGAAGGGCAGCAGTGGACGGACCCCACAACCATAAAGCTGCATGTAGACAGAAGATAGTAAAGGTTAAGACTCACCTGCTGGTTGGTCACTCATAAAAAAAACTTGTGTGTGTTAAAACCCTTTTAAAATATAGATACAAAACAAGACGAACTGATGTTTAGAGTATTTACATTTAACATAAAGATAAATGTTCTAAACATCATACACAGTAGCTGCTATTAATTGTTGGAACAAGCATACTTAAATTGACTTAAAAATAAAAATACAAATCAGGAATTAAGGGAAGTATGTTATTTATGTATTAGTTCAACCAGTAACTAAAGATTAAATAGGTTAAATGTGTTTGTGTTTTGCTGCTGTATGAGTATGTGTGAGCAGTGCTGAACCACAGTAACTCACTAAAAGCCCAGAGGCGCTGACCTGAATCTGGTACAGGGTATGCAGTGTACTTTGGGGATGTGTGCTGGTTAGGACATCTACTGCCTCACCACAGATTGATTTTTCTCTGTATGTGCTCACTAAATGGGTTACACCTGTGATAAAAGAAGAGAGCTCTAGGAGTTCTTATAAACTCACCAAGGAGGAGCAAAAGGGGCAAAAGGAACAGCAGGAGTTTCCAGAGTTTGGGAAGGCATCTGAAAAACAGTCATACATACATACATACATAGGTCAGATAAACACGCAGTGCTTTGGCCACTTGGGGGCAGCAGAAACAACACAACACCAATAAACTATCACATTATTTAGTTCATATGGTGAATTTGTAAGAGAACAGTTACTTATTTACACATCCAGCAGTTACGGAGCAACATTAGCATTCACGTTGGAGTTGGAGTTGGAAAATCTAAGTCCAATATTAAGTCTCTTTTAGCTCTGTTTTTAATTTCTATGAACTCCTTGGAGGAAAAGCTCCTGACCTGTGTCTGTCTGTTGTTTGGTGCTGAGCAGGTAGTGTACAGTGGGTTTATAGAGATTTATCACTGACAACAGCTGCCTTCAGTGGCTGAAAACGACGCTATGAGAGCGGTGAGGACTAAAACAGTAAAGTTGCAGGCCAGACAGCCGAGGGGAGCCGCAGATTCAGGTGATAAATCTCCAGAGGCTCATCACTATGCGCGAACCGTTTCACATCCTCACAGTGTCATTTGATATATAGCTGTCATAAACATAACAAATACAGCCGATAGATAACAATACAGGCTCTTACCGAGTCAGAAAGAAGACGTTGAGTAGAGACATGAGAGACACCAGCTGGTACCATCCTGCTGCAAGAAACCACAGAAGTCCCCTGCCTGCCTTCACTGGGCAGATTGAAGAAATGTGAAAAAAAAGACATGCATACATAGAATGAGAACATAATCAGACCATGTTACCAAAGAAAGAAGCAGAGAAGATACATATTTTGAGAAAAAAAAAAAAGAGTGCCACCAACCTGGAGCTGCCAGGAGCATCCAGAAGAGTGAGAGCAGCCCCTGCACCACTGTCCCAGCCCCGGAGCCCAACGCTTTGCCTGCTCGCACCACACAGTAGCCTGGCTGCAGGAGGCAGTAACCTGGAGGACAGGGTGAAAGAGACCATTTGATTTATTACAGCGCGAGTTGTCTGTGTCTTCAAACAAGTTAAGTTACAAACTATCCTTGTTAACAGTTTATCTACAGGCTGTCATAAACATAAGTGAAGTGTTGGTTAACCTGTGTAAGCTAGGACGCTCCACAGAGCCCCCGCCAGGCGTTGAGACCTGGAGGACTGTGTGAGGAGGACGGTGTGTGTCTCTGAATGCTGCTTCCCTTTACAGTCATCACCTGTGTACGGTGAAATGATGGACAGCAGGCAAACACAAAACAGAAAAACAAAGGATGTGTGAATGAATAAAATGAAGATGGACTTCAAGCACAAAAACCAAAGTAATAAAATGACGATTAACCAGAGCAACAGAAATTAAAACATGAAATGAATCAAATGTTTATAATAAAATGAAAATACAAGTGGGCTACTTGTATGCAGTATACTGTATGTGATGACAACATGCAAAGTAAAATGTATGACAACAGGCCTTGTTGACCCATTAAATGCTCCTGTGGGCATTCCACAGCTGTCTCCTGACTGAAAAATGCTTTTACTTCACTTAGGACTGCACAATTTATTGAAATATTATCGAAATCACAACACAGTCAAGTACAATATGCAAACTGCAGAAGCTGCA